TATGTATGTATATATCATATATGTACATGATTGCGTGTGTGTATTCGGTGAATGCATTCGCGAGTGTTTAAAAGGGTATTTTGGGCACCCCCAAAACCCTCCTTTCCCCGCCTCTCTCCGCCTAATGAATGAACGAGTAATCAGATCAATTATCACTATTTAAGATCATCAATCCATCTCTCCATTTTATAGCTTCAAAAACAGTGCGAGTTCCCTGCCGCGGACAAGCACATTAGGGTTGGCTTACCACACACAGCTACCTGTGTTTGTGCCTTACGGACCGTGAGGATGTTCATTGGCGAGCGTCCAGGGCTAATCCACTTGCGTTTTCTGTTCAAGTTAATAGTAATGTCTATAACAAGGAGTGTAGTGCTTATATTGTATATAGCAATAATGATATTGATAATTACAGTAATCCTTACCTTACCTTCATTATCCTTGTCATCATTATATTATTATTATTGTTATCATTGTCAATATCAATTATCATTATTATAATTATCTTTTTTATTATTGTTATTATTATTATTATTACTATTGTAATTATTATTATTATTATTATCAACATCATCATCATCATCATCATCATCATAGTCATCATCATCAACATTATTATTATCATTTTTTATCTTTATTATTATTATTGTTATTATTGTTATTATTTTCATTATTGTTGTTATAATCATTGTTATCATTATCATTATCATTATCGTTATCATTATTATCATCATTATTATTGTTGTTGTTGTCATTATTATCACCATCATGACCAAATAGTAATAATATTAATTAATAAAAATCTTGAAAGTATCAATAATAATGAAAATAATAATGGTAACCAAAATAATAGTAATATCGAGCGTTAGTAATTACAGCAATGGGAATGAAAATGGTGTGTAACGAAAGAGGGGAAAGGAGAGAAAGGGGAAAACTAATGTCTTGTTTCACCTTGACCTTTTCTTTCTTTTCCTTGTGTTCTGTTTCTTTCGCGTTATTTCCCCGTCCCTTTTTCATCTCCCCCCCCCACACACACACACACCTCTTACTCTGTCTCCTGTTCCTCATCTTCTTATTCTTATTTTTTTTTTATTTCGTCTCTTTTTCCCTCGTCTGTTTTCTCTCTTATTCTCTTTTTCTTTTCCTTGCTTCATCTCTAACTTCCTTCTCCTTCCCCTTTTCCATCCTTTCTTCCTTCCTTTTCTCTTCTCCTTCACTTCCTCACTCTCCTTTCTCTGCCCTCTCCCCCTTTCTCTGTATGTCCCTCTCCCCCTTTCTCTGTATGTCCCTCTTCCCCTTTTCCTTCTTCTCCGTTTCCCTTCTTCTTTCTTCCCCTTTGTTCCTCCCTTCTCTCTTCGCCTTATTTTCTTTTTTTACCTCTCCTTGCCCTCATTTTTCTTTCCTTCTCGCTTTCCCTTTTCCTCTCCATCTCCCCCTTCCGCTTTCCTTTTCCCTCTTTCTCCCCTTCTCATCCTTCCTTCTCTTCTTCCTATCCCTCTTACCTATTCCTCAGTCCTTTCTCCCCTTTCATTTTTTTCTCCCTCTCCCCTCCCTTCGTTCTCTTCCTTCCTTCCCTTCCTCTCCCCTTTCCGTTCTTTTCTCCTCCCCTCTTCTTCCTCTCTCTCTTCCCTCTCCCTTCTTGTCTCCTCTTTTGCTCTCCATCCTCCCTTACTCCCTTTCCTCTCCCCCTTCCTTCCTTTCCTCTCTCCTTTCCCTCCTTCCCTACCCCCTCTCCTCTTCCTCTTCCTCTTTCCCTTCTCCCTCCCCTTTTTCTCTCCATCTCCCCTTCCACTCTTCCTTCTCACAGTTCCCTCCTTCCCTCCCTCCCTCCTTTTCCTCTTCTTCTTTCCCTTCTCCCTTCCTATTTTCCTCTCCATCTTCCCTCTTCCTCTTCCCTCTCCCCTTCCCCCCTTTCCTCTCCTCTTTCACCCTTTCCTTTCCCCTCTCCTCTTCCTCTTCCTCTTTCCCTTCTCCCCTCCTATTTTCCTCTCCATCTTCCCTCCCCCTCTTCCCTCTCCCCTCCCTCCCTTTCCTCTTCTCTTTCACCCTTTCCTTTCCCCTCTCCTCTTCCTCTTTCCCTTCTCCCTTCCTATTTTCCTCTCCATCTTCCCTCCCCTTCTTCTCTCTCCCCTCCCTCCCTTTCCTCCCCTCTTTCACCCTTTCCCTCTCCCTCTTCCTCTATCTCTCCCTTGTATCTTTTCACTCTCCCTCACTTCCCTCTTCGCCCCCTCCCCCCCTTCACTTGCTGGTGAGCCTCTCCTCTGTCATTCTTACTCCCCCCCCCTCCTTTCCAACCTTTTATCCCCCCTCCCGGTTACACCTGTCCTCCCCCCCCCCCCTCAACCTATTTTTATCCCCCCTACTTCACCTGTCCTCGCCTCCTCCCCTTCTTCCTTCCTTTCATTCCCTTCCCTTTCGTCCTAAATTCTTCCCTTCTCGTCCTTTTCTATATCTTCTGTCTATACCCTTTTTCTCCTTCTCTTCTTCCCTCCCTCCCTCTCTCCCTTCCTCTCTCCTCTCTTCCTATCTCTCCACCTCCCCTTCCCCTCCCCCTTCCTCATTCTCTCCCACTCTCTCTCCTTTCCTCCTTCCCTCTTTCCATCTCTCCTTCCCTCGCACCTTCCCTCCTTCCCTCCCCATTCTCTCTTTCCCTCCCTCCCTCGTTCCCTCCCTCCTTCCCTCGCACCTTCCCTCGTTCCCTCCCCTTTTCTCCTTCCCTCTCTCCTCCTCCTTCCCTCCCTCCCTCCTTCCCTCCCCTTCTCTCTTTCCCTCCCTCCTTCCCTCCTTCCCCCGCTCCCTCCCCCTTTTCTCCCTCCCTCCCCCGCTCCCTCCTTCCCTTGCACCTTCCCTCGTTCCCTCCCCCTTCTCTCCCTCCCTCCCTCCCCCTTCTCTCCCTCCCTCCCTCCTTCCCTCGTTCCCTCCCCCTTCTCTCCCTCCCTCCTCCTTCTCCCCCTCCCTCCCTCCCTCCCTCCCTCCTTTCCCCATTCCCTCCCCCTTCTCTCCCTCCCTCCCTCCCCCCTTCCCTCGCACCTTCCTTCGTTCCCTCCCCCTTCTCTCCTTCCCTCCCTCCCTCCCTCCCCCTTTTCTCCCTCCCTCCCTCCCTCCTTCCCTCCCCCTTCCCTCCCTCGTTCCCTCACCCTTCTCTCCTTCCCTCCTTCCCTTCTTCCCTCCCTCCCACCCTCCCTCCCTCCTCCCTCCCTCCCTCCTCCCCCGCTCGCTCCCTTCTGGCTGCTCCACTGTCACCTTTCTACCCCCTCCCCCCCTGTCTGAGCGTCTGTCCATGACCCTGAGCTCCGTCGCCCGCGGCACTGTGCCAGCCGGCGTGGCACTCTCTCATCATCTGCGGTGCCCACGTCATCCCCATTATCCACGGGCAACACCACGCAACACCGATATGGCTGCTGTTTTACGCCACTCAGCACCGACGCACAACACCGTTTAATGCCGTTCAAGTATCGTTGGTGTATACTGCTCAACACCGCTCTGGGCATCATCACCGCCAAATGCAGCGATGCTCAACAACGGTTAACACCAATCAAACTCAGCACCGGCTTCAAACTGCTCAACACCATCCACCATCTTCAGAATCCACTCAACCCTACTCGCCACCACTCACCACCTTTTTCAACCACCAGCCGCTACTCATGACCGTACAAGCTTCTCACTTCTCAAAAACCGTTCAACACCGGTCTGAAATTATTCAACACCTCCAGACACCTCCCAATACGCTCTAACACCGTAAACACCGCTTATCACTGCACTCGCCCTCGAACACCGCTTCAAACCTTTTTAAACACGGCTCAACACCTCCTAGCATAACTTAGAACACGTTTCGGTACCGCTTTAAAGAAATCATATAATGGTCATCACTACCCAGCATTTGCCAAAACCACTCAACACCTGGCAACACCCACTCAACACTCGACAACACCACTCAACACCTACCGACACCACTAGACACATATCAACACCATTCATCACCACTCAACACTTCCCAACACCACTCTATACCTAACACCAACTTAATACCAACACCACGAAACACCTGTCAGTACCACTCAACCCCTGCCAACACCAACTCAACACCTGTCGACACCACTCAACATCTGTCAACACCACTCAACCTCTGCCAACGCCCCTCAACACTTGCCAACGCCACTCAACATCTCCCAACACCACTCAACCCCTGCCAACACCACTCAACACCTACCAACACCACTCAACCCCTCCCAACACCACTCAACACCTACCAACACCAACTCAACACCTGTCAACACCACTTAACACCTGTCAACACCACTCAACACTTGCCAACACCCCTCAACACCTCCCAACACCACCCAACCCCTGCCAACACTAACTCAACACTTTCCACCACCAACTCAACACCACTCAACACCAGCTCAACACCACTCAACCCCTGCCAACACCACTCAACCCCTGCCAACACCAACTCAACACTTTCCACCACCAACTCAACACCACTCAACACCAGCTCAACACCACCCAACACCACTCAACCCCTGCCAACACCACCCAACCCCTGCCAACACCAACTCAACGCTTTCCACCACCAATTCAACACCACTCAACACCAGCTCAACACCACCCAACACCACTCAACCCCTGCCAACACCAACTCAACACTTTCCACCACCAACTCAACCCCTGCCAACACCAACTTAACACTTTCCACCACCAACTCAACACCACTCAACACCAGCTCAACACCACTCAACCCCTGCCAACACCACCCAACCCCTGCCAACACCAACTCAACACTTTCCACCACCAACTCAACACCACTCAACACCAGCTCAACACCACCCAACAGCACTCAACACCACCCAACAGCACTCAACACCACCCAACACCACCCAACCCTGCTAACACCAACTCAACACTTTCCACCACCAACTCAACACTACTCAACACCACCCAACACCACTCAACACCACTCAACACCAACTCAACCCCCGCCAACACCGCTCGAAACCGCCTGAAACCGGTGTTTACTCGGCTACGCAATCCTTGGCTTCCGTCCGAGCGGTTTCCTGGGCGCGGCGAAGGAAAAGAAAGAGAGAGAGACAAAAGGATTATTGGACATTACTGCTTCTATTCTTCTTTCTTGGGATTTTCTGCTGGGAGGGAGAGGGGCTGACTGACTGACTGGTTGCTTGACTGAACGACTGACTGACGGAATGGTTGATTGGCTGGTTGACTGACTGACTGAATGAATGAATGAATGAATGAATGAATGAATGGTTGACTGACTGACTGACTGACGGAATGGCTGACTGGCTGGTTGACTGACTGACTAACTGAATGACTGGTTGATTGACTGCCTGACTGACTGAATGAATGAATGAGTACATGAATGAATGAATGAATGGCTGACTGGCTGGTTGACTGACTGACGGGATGACCGACTGACTGACTGGTTGATTGACTGCCTGGCTGGCTGACTGGCTGACTGACTGAATGAATGAATGAATAAATGGCTGGTTGGTTGACTGAATGAATGAATGGCTGGTTGACTGACAGAATGACTGACTGACTGACTGGTTGATGACTGTCTGGCTGCCTGACTGACTGAATGAATGAATGAATGGCTGACTGGCTGACTGAATGAATGAATGACTAACTGACTGACTTGAACGATATACTTAATTGAATGATTAAGTGATTGACTGACTGACTGACAAATATACTTATCTAACTGATCGACTGATTGGCAGATAGACTTGACTAATTCAAAACCTAACTGACTACTGGCAGATAGACAGTCAGAAACATAAAAAGACAGACAAACAAACATACACATTTTTTTTAATAATAAAAAATATCAAAAGAAAGAAAGACAGACAGACAGACAGACAGACAGCCATATCCAACATGACATGAAAATTCCCACGACCGTAATGTCAAGGAACAATACAAAGAGTACATATTGTCCTCAAACCTTTTCCTTCTCCTTCTCCTTCTCCTTCTCCTTCTCCTTCTCCTTCTCCTTCTTCTCCTTCCCCTTCTCCTTCTTCTCCTTCTCCTTCTTCTTCTTCTTCTCCTTCTTCTACTTCTTCTTTTTCTTCTTCTCCTTCTTCTAATTCTTCTCCTTCTTCTTCTCCTTCTAATTCTCCTTCTCCGTCCCCATTCCCTTGTCCTTCTCCTTCTCCTTCTTCTCCTCCTTCTCCTCCTTCTCCTTCTTCTCCTCCTTCTCCTTCTCCTTCTCCTAATTCTCCTTCTCCTTCCCCATTCCCTTGTCCTTCTCTTTCTCCTTCTTCTCCTTCTCCTTTTCCTCCTCCTTCTCCTCCTTCTCCTTCATCATCTCCTTCTAATGCTCCTTCTCCTTCCCCATTCCCTTTTCCTTCTCCTTCTCCTCCTCCTTCTCCCTCTCCACCTACAACTCCCTCCGCTCGTCTCTGTTTTCTCTTAAAGGAAAATTCCCTCTCCTTTAATACGTCGAAGAGATCCATTGCACCAACCAGCCCACGTACGCTCACGCACACACGCGCACACAGATACGCACACAGATGTAGATACGCACAGGTACCAAGCATACACGCACACGCATACGCATGTACGTAAATATATATAATGTACACACGCTTAGGTGCATGTGTAGTACTAGACACAAACGTCCCTTAGGACGAGAGAGAGAGAGAGAGAGAGAGAGAGAGAGAGAGAGAGAGAGAGAGAGAGAGAGAGAGAGAGAGAGAGAGAGAGAAAGAGAAAGAGAGCAAGACCAAGAAAGAGAAAGACAGAGAGAAGAGAAGAAACGAAGAGAGCAAGGGCAGAAAAAGAGACAGAAAGAAAGAAAGAGAGCATGACAGAAAAAGAGTCAAGAAAATAAAGAAAGAGGAAAAACCGAGAAAGAGAGAAAGAGAGAGAGAGAGAGAGAGAGAGAGAGAGAGAGAGAGAGAGAGAGAGAGAGAGAGAGAGAGAAAGAGAGCAAGACCAAGAAAGAGAAAGACAGAGAGAAGAGAAGAAACGAAGAGAGCAAGGGCAGAAAAAGAGACAAAGAAAGAAAGAGAGCAAGACAGAAAAAGAGTCAAGAAAATAAAGAAAGAGAGGAAAAACCGAGAAAGAGAGAGAGAGAGAGAGAGAGAGAGAGAGAGAGAGAGAGAGAGAGAGAGAGAGAGAGAGAGAAGGCACTAGTATCGCCTCAGCCACTTTAGTAAGCTCGGTTATAGTGCCGGTCGGGGATGTACAGTATATTCCCGTATAGTGAAAACCAGCTCTGTAGTGGATATATATTTATAGTTTGTTCTTTGGGTTATTTTTTATGTTGTTTAGTTCTTGCTCTTTGTTTGTTTGTTTTTCTTTTTGTTCAGTTGATTAGTTATTGTTGTTTTCTTGTTGTTTTGTAAACATTATTGTTGTTTAGGTCTTGTTCTTGTTCTGTTGATTTGTTGTTGTTTAGGTGTTTTGTTGTTGCTGTTGTTTTGCTGTTGTTTAGTTCCCGTTATTGCTGTTCAGTTGTTTAGTTCCTGTTATTGCTTTTGT